AAAAAAACTACTAAATTGTTCCCTTAATTAGTAACTCTAGTTTGGTGGGATAATTCAAAATCAGAAGGTGGCTTATGGTAAGGATATATAAACATATAGAATCACTAGCATTTGCATGTAATGTGATGCACAGTTCAGAATTGAAAAATTTACAATCTTTCTTGTACAAATTTAAAAAACATATATATTTCTTCTTGTAATTCATCTAGGGATGCAGACCAGCCGAGAACTTGGACATGGGGTCCTTATCCGCGAGCCCGTGCTCATCCTACCAACCGAGCCCCCACACCTCATACAATCCGAGCCCGGCCTCCTCTTCTTTTCCGAGCCCTGCCTCGTCAGCATACCCTCCCTCCATACTCGCCGATGGCAACTCCCTTATCCCCTGGCTCAGAAACCTCTCCTCCTCAACCGCCACGTCAGCAAAGTGCCACCTCATCCACGCGGGCTCCATCAGTGCCCCTGTGACCCCTCCCTTGAGTTCCCCCACGGCCCGTACCCCACGACTCGGTCTCGACTGGGATAACGGGCCCTTTGCAAGGCCCGGATGGGCCGGGCCCAAACACCCGTTCCTCCCTCTGTCGACTCCTCCGAGCCCGGGCCGGTGGCTGGCCGGAGCCCAGATCCAGCAAAGCGGGCCGGCCTCGCCGACTTTCAGCCTCGTCTCGGCGAACCCGTTTGGGTTCACGGCGGAAGATCTGTCGCGGGCCGGGCCCATGGTGACGTGTACTCCGGGCCAGAGTGGAACGTGCTCGCCGGCTGTGGGTGGTGGCAGGGGTTCGGATGTCCCGATGGCTGATGTGGGCCCGAACGAGTTTGCTTTCGGGAATGACGTGGCGGTTGGGCTCGTGAAGCCGTGGAAAGGGGAGAGGATACACGAGGAATTTGGGTCGGATGAACTCGAGCTCACTCTCGGAAGCTCGAAAACGAGGTAGAGTTGGTTTTTTTCTAAGGTAAGGAAATAATAAAAAATGATTAAAATATTTATTTGAATGAGGATATGTGTTTTGGTCGAGCATGATGGCGACATGTGATCCATATAGCCGACTCCACTTAGTGGGATTTTGTATTAACTATTATTGAAGGGTTTTAAGTTGTAACTTGATAACTCATTCTTGAAAAAGATGCAGTAACTCAAATTGTTGTTGTTGTTGCAGATGAATAAGATCTGGTGCAATTAAGAAGATTTGACACTTGATGATGGAAAATTCCACAAGATCTNTTTTTTGAGTTTCTTGGCAAGTTTTTCAGCAGCCATTAAATATTAAATCTGTCTTTTCTTTTTTTAAAAAAAAAAAGTCTGAATACTATATCATGTCCTTGTTCAAATTCAATCCTACTGACGAGACACTGCTCTCATTGGTTTTTTTTTTAATCGTTAGATTACCCCAAATCATATTCAATTCAAGTTCACATTACAAAGTCCCGGTAGGAAGCCTACTAGCCGAGCTCTCGTCTTTGCTCTCGACTGAAACCGACGAGTCGACCCACGACCTGTCTATCGAGACTCCATCTTGAGAAATCTTGGAACCCGCGTTTGGCTATCTTGAGAGAGCGACTCGTAAGCTTTGAACCACATATTCTCTCACTCTTAACAAGTGGTGATTGAACCTTCACTTTCCCTTCGAGCATGTTCACCACACACAACATTACGGGCCTCAAATGTCAAATACCCATAAATAAATGATATAATTGGACTACACCGATAAATATTACACTATTCAACTTAGGACTTCATGTTTTTAAACTTTTAATTTGAAATTTTTATAAAAAAGTTTTAGTTTTTTATTGTCGTTTGAAAATATGACTATAATCCCTAAAAAATACAAGTTTTTGGAAATTTTATTATTAAATATCGTTGCAAAAATATAAAGCAAAATAGCATAAAAGAGCGTAAAAAACATGTTATTTCAACATTTCGCGTAAGTTTATCAGGAAAAACGCTAAATATACAACGTTATGCTGTGTTTTTTTTGTCAATAATGCCCTCTGCCTGAAATTATATATAAGGGGATTATGAATTATGTTTGTTCCTCAGTCAACAAACACGCTAAACAATATTCTAATGGTGTGATTGGTTGGAAGGATTAGGCTTGATATCACACCATTTTTTACTATATCATCATATTACCATGTTTGCTTCCAATAAGTAAGCCTTGGAAATAAGTCATGGACCGCTAAATTATTAGCAATTTTCAGTATTATGGATACCACCTCTTTGGTGGGATATGTAATATATCATAATTTTACTTTTCAATTTACAAAATCAGCCTCAGCCCTCTTTCCTCCACATACCCGTGCCCTAAATNAAAAAAAAAAAAATCTCTGAGATCGAAGAGAGAAACGCGAGGTCGAGGCCAAATCCCTCCAGAAGCAATCCCATCGCCGATCTGCAACAAAACACCATGCCTCGTCCTCCTCCAACCCTAACTTCAAGCCAAAAATTCCCAAATCAAAGCTCAAACCCTCCTCCGAATCCCTCGCCAAGGAGCGGAACATCGACGACCTCAACCTTCCCTAGCCGGAAGTCGTCCATCGCCTCCGAATTTAGGAGAAAAATAGTGGTGGATTTGGTTAATTTGTCTTTTATGGTCATTATCAATCTTTCCTTTTGTTTCTAAAGTTTGTCTATGTTCGTAACATAAGATGAGAAATTTGGTCTTTTATGAAATTGCAACTAATACGTAGCCTGTGCTATGCACGGATAAACAATATTAATAATAATTGTAAATAGCTCTCGAGTTCGAGTCACTCAATGAAAGAAGTGGGGAACCACAATTGATCATCTTTAAAAGAGCAGAAAAACAAAATATTATAAATTAAAGATGGGGTAAACAATATTAATTAATAATTATAAATTAAAAATGTGGGGTTAACATTTGATATAATTTATCGTATATCAATTTATTATAAACAATATAAAATTAGCTTATACAAGAGAACATAAAATTTATATGTTTACAATATTAAAAATACTTAAAATATTATATTAACATATGTAAAAGTACATGAAAATTTTATATTATTATTAAAAGATGTGAAGTCACCTACAACTTTTATAAACTATTTTGGAAAGGAAACATCTCTAAAAGCAGAGAATTAGTTATAGCGTATAGGGGTAGAAAAGAGGAAGAAATGAGTGCTCGCGTCAATCTTTTTTTCACATTTTTTTACATCTCCCTGCGTCAAAGCCTTCTTGTCTATCGATCTGCGTCAAAGCTTTATCTTTGAGTACTTGTCAATTATCCCTCTCCTTTTTTATGACTGAACTTCGCTTCTAAAAATTACATTGACATTGTTTTGTATTAATTAGAATGACTGACGACTATCGTTTTAGAGACTTCATCTTGAGGAATACGTTATTTCCCATTCATCCATAAGCATGACTCCCTCATCTCCTTCCCAACAATTAATGTTTGTGTTAAAAGAAAAAAAAATACTATTAATGGCAAATCATTAATGGTATCCAACTTTGATTAATAGTTTGACCTGTTATTTTTGAAAAATGGTAATTCTTATTATATATATAGATGATATGGAAATAAACATAAATTTTGGAGTGGAGAAAAATTTGAAAATTTAATTATAAATACAGGGCAAAAACGTAATCTAGTCTTAAAGGTTATAATTATCATTCTCCAACCAAATGAGTTAATGGGCTAGGTAAATTGTGAGATAGCCTTTAGATTATATCAAGCCCAATAACCCTTTGCCAACCAATCACACCCTAATTATATAGGAGAACTATATTGTGGGCCGGTATTGTGAAGTTGGGTTCTCTAGCCCGGCATTACGAAACTCGCCTGATTAGTTGGACTTTGCCGCAATCAGACTGGGTGAAGGTTAATACGGATGGTGCATTCTCCTCCCACACGGGTTGTGGATGTGCAGGAGGATTGGTTCGCGATTCTCGGGGACACTGGCTTGGAGGATTTCTGATGAATGCCGGCATGTGCTCCATTACCGGTGCTGAGCTGTGGGGTCTCTTCCATGGGCTATCTCTTGCATGAGCTGTGGGCGCTAGAAAGGTGGTGGCGGAGGTTGATAATAGTAGCGTGATTACTATGGTGATGGGACGAGAGGACATGGGTGGGATCCATGATAGCCTTGTTCGGGCCATACGGGATCTGCGAGATCGTGAATGGTCGGTAGTATTGGTTCATGTATTTCGCAAAGCGAACTTCACTGCGGATCACCTGGCTTCTTTAGCGGCGTCCGAACCCCTAGGAGCACACCATCTTCCCGTTCCCCCGCCGTCCTTAGGCAGGTGGCTCGAGCATGATATTATTGGGGTAGCTTATCCCCGTCGCGTCCCTTCTTAGTTTTCAGTAGGCTTCGGCCCCCCTTTATTGTACCGAAAAAAAAGTACTTTTTTCATGTATACTTTTAGTTTATTATAACAAGTAATTGTGTATGGAGTCTCTTTCTACTAGTACCTTTTAACCAATAGTAATTAAACATCTGTCCACCTTTTGGTTATAATAAATATATACAAATAACATTTCAACAAGCATAATTATATAATTAAAAATAAATGCCATCATTCTTAATTTAAAAAACTTGACTTTAGTGGTAACTTTTTCAATGATGTATGGTATCAAAATATTTCTATATAAACCAAATACACCAAACGCAAAACTCATCCATTAGCCAAAGGAAATCAAATTATTAGTATCGTATGGGTTTACATCAGATCGCGAATGTGCCTTGCTTTCACCGAAACTCTGACGGTACTGTGCCGATTTTTTGCAGAAGGCATTAGGGTTCCGATTCTGATGAAAGCAAGGCATATTAGCGATTTGATGAGGATTCACGAGGATTTTGGGTCGGACGAAAACGAGGTAAAGTTGTTAAATTTTTCTCATGTGTTGACTATATTATTGAAGGGTTGTAAGTTGTAGCTCGATAACTCATTCTTGAAAAAGATGCATTACAGCTCAAATTTGTTGTTGTTTGTTGCAGATGAATAAGATCTGATGCATTACAAATCCATGTATTCCTACTTTTTAGGAATGTCAATATTAATGTCAGAAAATACCAAAAAACAACTATAATTATGACCAAATTAGCACAAATAACAAAAGGAAAATCAACAGAGCACCACAATTACGAGCACAAATCAAAAGAGTGAGAATTTTATAAAAATATATAAAAACAAAACGAGTCAAAAGGAGGTGAAAGACCATAAAATCATATGAACCACTGCTCAAAAGATAACGCATATCCGAGATCCAGTTTGTGAGCCTGTGAAAAGAATTTATCACTGAAATGAAAGAATATATCATAGCAAGAAACGTTTTTTAGGCGAGCCCATGTCCCATTTACGTCACACACACACACACACGCAGGCACGTGCGAGCCCGCGCAAATGTACCTTCATCTTCAGGCAGAAGTTGAGAGGCAGATGTAAAAACCAAAACCCCACAAATGCTTGCAAGAAACAATCTTTTCACAAAAGTTGCACCGCTTGAGGCCCTTCTAGCAAGAAACAACCCCATTGAAGGTACAAAAATTAAAAAAGAATGTACCTTTGAATATGGGTCAGACACAATAAACTTTTTCAGTTCTCAGTTCTCACTTCTCACACTGTCACACATCACACAAACAACGTTAACCGGAAAAAAAAGAGTATAATGCCCGTAACAAAATACAGTTTTATCAAATAAAAATAGAAACAGAGACGACAAAGATACTGAAAAGTGAAGAGAAAATTGGTAGTGATTAGAATCAATGGCGGGGGAGAGAAGAAAAAAAAAGTGTTCTTGAGGGGAAGCAAATGGGTTGGCCAAAGGCAAAATTAAGAAAGTTCATAAAATATCTGGGGAAATTTAGGACAAGGGATTGGTTACTTGGTTGGCATTTACGTCGACAAAATGCAGATTGTTGTTTGCAGAATTTTTGCTAATCGTTTTTCAGCGGTTTTTGTGTGAGGACTAATGAGAGAGATGTTCGACGGGGCAACCTGTTTGTGTACTTTTTCAAATTTATCCGAAGGGACACGATTTTTGCAAATATTACAATTGTGGCCCGTTTTCTATGGTTGATAAATGTTTGACTCTTGAATTAGTACTACTAGATTAGGAAAATTTGTAATTGGCATAAGATTTTGTGGATTGATTAATTTATTAATGTGTACTAAAGAAAAAAAAATTAGAGGTAATATGGCAGATTAGTTATATTAACAAAATTTTATTTTGTTATATAAATTTGTTCAATGGTTTTATATGAAATTGTATCTGATGTATAGAAAAGAAACACTAGTGAACCAAATTTTATCCATCTTAGATTTATTTGTAACTTAATTTACAATTTTTTCAGTTGTGTTTATATAATTTGATCTTGCGTAATCCGAATAATAAACATTATGATATATATTTAACATTTATGTAATTTTTCAAAAAGTAATTGAAATGTTAAAAATTGTAAAATATATCTTATAAAAAATATATCAACTGCATAAACACACATAATAAAAAGTGAAATACAAATACTAAAATACATCGATACAATTCAAAATCCAAATAACGTACGTAAACTTCACACAAAATGCAACACGTATATATACGCTCTTGTTATAATTACTAATGTAAATGTTGAATATGAGCTCGGATCGAAAAAAAACCTTAGTTCAACTCGGCCCACTTGATAAGAGATTAAGGAGTTGAGCTTGAGCTTCTTTAAAGCTCATAAAGACTCATAGGTTTTTTTACATACTTTCTGAATTTTCACTGTAGTATTGTTACATGTACATAAAATTGGATATAAAATTATTGATACTTATATGTATATAAAATATCTACAAGTAACATTACCTAAATATTCATTTTACTATAATTGTATTGTTTTAAGCACATTATTATGTATACACATGCAGTTCAAGACACTTAATTCTAAAAGACTAAAACTAATATCATTAGTATATCATTATGTTGTGCTCGAACCTTAAAGAGTTTGAGTCTTAACGAGTCGAGCCAATGTTAACTAAATGAGCAAGCAATGAAGCTTGAACTCTGCTTGTTTATCAATATTAATGAGCCGAATAAAAATTCATTTTATCGAGCCTTGACAAACTTTATCGTGTCGGCTCTTAACTAAACGAGCTCAAACTCGTCATGTTTATCATACGAGTACAACTGAGCTCACGAGCATCTCGTTTGATTTAACAACTCTAATTGTATGTGATTTATAATTTAAAAAAAATGATGTGGCAGGATCATATTGGATCTAGTCCTCCTATGTTTTGTGGGCCTACAGTTATATTCAAAATTAATATATGTTCCAAAACAAGTGGAACAAAAAATAGTCTGTCCTTATTAGTACAGCTAATTAAATACCCTTAATTTCTATAGTAGAGCAAGCACGTTATATTGCCTCTTGTCAAGCAGTTTCCTGTTAAGTCTGCTTTTGATTTGGAGTTGAAATGTGAAATCCTAATCAATATGTGAAAAGTCAACATACAGATTCTTTTAAGATTCATGAGAATATTTTCTTTAATTTCATTTTTCATTTTATATATACAAATTAATAATAGTTCACTTATATTGATCCTAAGAACCCAATCTTTTATTAATTTATAGAATAATTCGACGTAGTTGGATGGAAATTGGTATTTTTCCTGATTTAAGAGAGTATTTTCTGAAATGTCTATTTGTGAACGAGTTATTATTTTCTTATAAATAAAATATTCATATCTACTTACTATCACATTTTTTTTTGTTAATTACAAAACATCATTGACAATTTGGTGTCTAACTTGGGCATTAATTGAGTGTAAAGGCACCAACATTGATCCATTTATGGTTCCAACGTTCGAAATATATCAACATATAATGTGCAACCCATCAAATATTGAGAAGATTATTGTAAAGCAAATTGATCTCTAAATATTATTAAAAAAAAGCTTCATATACAGTATATGAACTGAGTTGACTCGCTGTAGATGTGAAGTGTCTCAATTCTCACATTCTTGGTTAGTTGACTTTGTAGTTTTGCTATAGAGCCATCGGATGACTCGACTTATGAAGTCATCCACACTTATTCACTAATAGTGCATTGACACGTGTCCTACAATAAATATACGATAAATACACTTTAGACATGTGTCAATACATTAAGTGGTGGATGACTCAATAGAATTTTTGATTGACTTTGATGTTGGTTTCTAAATTCAAAAATATTAAATATTTTTTCGAGATTCTGAAAGGGCAGAAACCAAAAGGAAAAAAAAGGTAAATTGAAATTGAGAAAAATTAACCTCATCTACCCAATAATATACTTCTATTGACCTTGGTCCTTGGTTATATATGATACGCAAAACACATTTAATAAACAAATATATATATATATATATATGTCATATCATGAAGTCTTCATATTATTAAAAATAAATATCTTTTTTTCTTCATCCTTCTCCTATATATGGTTCAATGGTTGCACACGAGTCAATTATGCGCTCGAGTCAAAGTTCGACTCGTGTTTGAATTTTATTGAGCTCGAGTATCTCAAACTCGATCCAAGTTCGAGATTATATTTTGTTAGTTGACATGAGTCGCTCGAGTCTACATATAATTACCTTATTACTCTGAAGTCAAGTTCAATTCAGTTAAGAATTAACAAAAATTCTCCTTAACTTCAACTTGATGAAATTTGAACTTAATTTCGAGCATTTGTATAATATTCAAAGTTACAATGAGTTTGGCTTGTCAGCTCGAGCTCGAGCACTAATTTAAAAAGTCGATTTTAACTCGATAGGAGCATTGCTCGACTCAACTCAGCTTAAACTTCAACACCAATTAAAAAATTCGAGTTTAAATACTCGATAAATGCGTTGCTCTACTATACTCAGTTCGAGCACCGATCTAAAAAGGTGAGTTCTTCGATACTTAACTCAGCTCGACTCAACTAGACTCGACTCGGCTCGTCGGCATCCATATCCATTGTTGAAGCTTCTGCCCAAAGCTACTTTTAAATTTACCTTTCACTCTTATCTTTGCCTTCAATTTTACTCTTCCTTTTTACCGCAACCATAATTTCTCAACTAACATGTTTGACATTAATAATAATACCAAAATGCGGAATCTCTTGTTTTTTCCTATTTTTAATATTAGTAAACGCGTGAACTCAATTTTTAATACCAACTAGCTAGTCTTCCTTAATTAGTTAGCTAGCT